TCTCTATAAAAAAACCTGCAAAAAAACCAGAATATTTTTATCCATAAGCACGAGACAAAATATCAAACTATTATAAAAAAAACCAATACCTAAATAGGCTTATTTAGTGTAAAAAGTCGTTCTTGTTACGAATTATGAGCCTATTTTCTCTCCCTCTCTCTTCCTTTCTTTTAAGTACTAAAAATTAGGTGAGCAAATGCGAAAAGTCGTAAGAAAAGAGACTCGTTGCAAAGTTGTTAACAGGCTGATGGTACTAGGAAAGTAAATAGAAGAGAAATATAGTACTTTATGTACTGTATACAGTATATTATGTATTTGCTATGTTTCTTTTGAATAAGAAAAGAAATAGGGGAAAAGGTGTTTTCCATTCAACTCGAGTGCTAATAAATTGTTTATGACATATTGACATTTTACGTAGTTTTTTTTTCAATGCCTAATTTGTTTTTTCGCTTTTTTAGACAAAAAAAAGAACACAAAAAATGCCTTATCAATTGATACGGAATGAGAGTTTTTAATTGTTTATACTAGTTCTATTGCGGTCGTTTGAGATTTTAGCGTTTGATATACTAATTGAATTTTGGAAAAGGGCTTGACATTTTTAATTGTCTACTTGTTTTCAGGTTACCAGGCTACGGGGCTACGGGGCTACGAGGCTACGAGGCTATAAGGCTACGAGCGAGTCGATTTGTCCAGGTATTGATTTTGTTTTTTTGTCAATCATCAACGATTATTTATGGCGAGTGGATAGAAATGAGGAGCTCTGCTTGACGGCCATTGATTAATTATATTAGTTATTAGGCGCCATCATTGAATTGAATGGATCATTATTCAAATTAGCATTAAATCAAGTTAAAGTATTCCTAAGGCAGATTGTAATAATACTTTATATCCGGTTTATATCTATTTCGTTTCTGAATTTATTATTTATTTTTAGTGCATTTGATGGAATTCTGTCAACTCGTCTCTGCATTTGTTGTCTCTAGAGTTGAAATTAGTCTAAACGACTAACTTAAGTTGTCCGCCGGGAATTGATAGAAAGCTGACGTGTTTAAAGATAGTGCCGCCTTTCTCAGTTTGAAAAATTAGGTTATAAGGAATGCTTTAAGAAACGCCTTTAAGCTGTTCGCCTGATAAATAGCCCTGGTAGAATTCTATTAGGCTAAAAGGAGGTTTCGTTGGCTGGAGTCGAATGACTGAAGAATCGGAGAATTCTGTTATCTTTTCCCCAAAGTATCACTTTGAGTGATGATTGGCAAATGGCCAAGAAAGAAAAACAGCCTAAAGAAGGAGGGCGAGACTAAATGAAAAAAGAAAAGAACAAATGAAGGAAAATATTGACAAATAAAAGATAAAAGAAAGGGAAAAAACAAACAATTAATTATTCATAAAAAAATCAATAAAGAAATAAGAATAAAGAAAAATGAAATTATTGAAAAGGTAACATTTGCAAAAAGTTTCATCATTTTCTCAAATACAAACTCTACTGTTGTTGAGATTATAATACAAAGTTTCTATATTTTAAATCTCCCTATAGATACTCTCTCTCTCTCTCTCTTTCTCTACATATACGGTATACTCGAGTATACATATGGAGAATTTAATACAAATCAATTGAATGAATGAATGAATGATAGAATGAATGAATGAAAATTAATAATAATAAAAAAATCCTCATTGTTTCTATAAGTTTTTCCTAGGAATCGGTGAAACAGGTTGAAGAATCAACCATTGAACTCTTTTCATTGCATTTGTAAGCCTGTTGAAACTCTTTCATCTGTGAAAGGACGAAATTAATAGCGTACGGCGTTGGAATATAGTTGTATTTCATCCAATTCTCCTTCTCTTCTTTGTATTTGACGCACTGATTCTATTCGAGGAGACGGTAAAGCGAAACGATTAAGATTAATTCGAATGGAACAGTATTCTCCTCCTTACCTGAACTGCAGCTAGAAAGAAAGTTTGCCTGGCCGATAGTCCCAGTCCCGATAGTAGCGGCACTTCGACGTGATTCCTCTTCGTTGATAAATGATTTTCCAACGACTGTAAGTAAATGTAAATCAAATAGTCATAGAAATGTTTCTTCCCTCGCCAATTACTTAATTACTTACATAGATCAGAGCGCCAAAGGCGTGCCTATAATAAATGATATTGTAAATATACGGATCTTTCGTTTTGAATAATTTCTCAGTTTTCGAATCTATTGAGAATCTTTTAGATTTTATCTTTTTCTTTACGCATACTTCGTCTCTCTCGTATTTGGTTACTGTCTCCGGAGTCCACCAAGATTGACTAGATCTAGGTCTATGAGCTGTAATTCAATTACATTTGCAAATGTGCAGTGTATACACTAAAAGTAGTTTTAAGATACAGAATATACATTGTATATACTGTATATATAAGCGTGCGTATGCGCTCTATTTTCTTATTCTTACTTGGAGGTATAACCAAGAACGATAATGCTCTCGCAATACCAAAGCCGAAAGAGCCAAAATTAAATATAAAAGGAACTTTTGGATTGAAGAACGGTTCCTATTTATAAAAACGAAAGAGATTAAAAACTATGTTCACTAATTACAAAACTAATAAATTAGATTAATTTCAAAGCTAACCTGAAAGAGAAGTTTCGGTATAAATAGATATTTCTGGGAAGCGTACAAATACGAATAACACTTAAAATGAGTAAAGTATCTTGTATTGTACGATCCCCTCTCTTGCCCTTTAACATCGTCATACAGGATATTCCAATGTATTTTTGATGCTTCGACAATATTCTCCAAATAGCTATGTTTTAAAGTTATATTGGCAAACTGTATAGAATGAGAAGGGAAAAGAGAGAGAAACCAAATCAATCAAACATTCCTCTATACAAAATGGTTTTACTGAATAAAAATATTTACTTGAATATATCTTTTTGCTCGCCAATTTCTTTTATCTAGACTTGTCTTCAGACCTTTCACCTGGTTAAAGAAGAAAAAAATCAAATGATTCGTTCCACTCGGCAAGAACTATTCGTCTAGAAAAGATTATATGGTAATGGACGATTCGCATTAAGTTTACTCTCCCTCTCTCTCTCTGTCTCTCTCACTCTAATTCTCGGTGGTACTACTACTACTACTACTACTACTACTACTACTACTACTACTACTACTACTACTACTACTATTAAGAGGAGGAGGAGGAGGAGGAGGAGAAGTGGGAGGAGAATTATAATGATGATGACGATGAGGAGGAGGAAATGCGTGTTTTTTACTTGCTATTATTATCTTTTCATTAGTAGTGCTGAGCGCTTTAGGACTTTTAATAAGAGACTATTTACATTTTTTTTCGCGTTGTAGGAGGAGAGCTGATCCATATATTTACTTGCTCTTAATTTATCGATATATCCAATATATCCTTGTTGGATTGCTGTAACGATTTCTTTAATCTAGATGACAGAAGAAAAAGAAAACAAACTCAAAGTATTACGGATAAGCCTAATTCGTTCAAGCTATTTGCTTATATTACTTGCGACATGTGGTAGGCTTTTGTTCTCGTTAGCTTCTTCTCAACCATTGAAACGCCTTCCGGTAAATGGAGTATTGTGTTGAGGAGACACATGTACTCGTCGGTAAACAATGACCTATCCGGTCTGTCGCTCTCTTTAACCGTCTTGAGAAAATTGCTGATATATGTGCTATATGATCCTCCATATTCGTAGATTGAATTTTCTAATATCATCCACAGAACGTAATTATTCAATTTCCTTTGATGATTAAGCAAAATGAATTTTTCACCGCCTAAAGCTTAATTACGTTCGCTTAAGAAAAGAAATACCTTTTCATATCAAAACTCTTATCTTTAAAGTAACTACAAAAGCTTTTTATAGACTTTTCCTCTCGAATGATTATGTTTGTACTGTTTTTAAAAAGTTTCTTCTTTCCCGTAAACAGATTATTAATAAATTTCAGCCAATCCAACTGATGAGAAGAAGCCAATAAATAAAGAGATCAAAAAATCAACAGCCATATACAAATAGGACAAAATAGTGAATTATTAATGTATATACAAGCGTATATAGTAATATTTACATTTGGGCATATCTTATATAGGTAGGAAATTTTCACTGTGTAGCTTCTTCCGTACTCTTGAGGATAGTAATTCTTAAAATAAAAAGGCAAACTGAATGTGAACGCTTCTTTCTTTATCACAAGTCATTTAATACAATACTTTATATATATCGTTCGTAATCGCAAGAGAATCGTTAACGAATTCGGTTAACTGCTGGTCATTAACTTTTCTACCAGTTTCTTCTAATGCATGATTCATTGAATCCTTCATAAATGTTGTGTAGGCGTTGATCTTCTGTATCCAAAATCAATTATGCTCATTTCTTTGCTGTTTGTTTAGAAATGTATGAAATTACCTGCGTTGAATTTGACGTCAGAGCTAAATAGTTCCAAGTAAAAATTGATGAATGGGGACCCAACTATGACAGAGGAGAAAAAGTTTTTAATTTAGTTTCTCAATGCGTTTCTCTCGAGATTTGAAAGAAATATTACGCTAAGAAGTGTTGAAGAATCTTTAGAAGGATGTGGCCCCGCTACTATTGAAAAGAAGACTAATGGTCCAAAAGTTTTTGTAATTTTGGTTACAGCGTCCGTAAAGTCCCAATCTGTACCGGTCCATTTATCCTAGAAAATGAAGAAAATTGTATAAGGAACAAAATTCGTTTAACACAAACTGCTATCGCATTGATTTGGTTTTGCTATTTAAAGGAAATAAGAAAGAAAGGAAGGAAGGAAGAGAGCGAGAGAGAGAGAGAGAGTGAGAGAGAGAGCAAGGGGGCAAACCTAGACCTAACCCTGTTAGGGATGAGTAGTTTTGACGTTTTATAACGTACCTCCAGTAACCATATAGACAATTTCATCTTGTTAAATATTTTCTCTATAGTATTTAAAAGTTTTCTCGAGTAAGACTTATAAATACAAGATCTGTAAAAGTTCTTTGCCGCAACGTAAGGTTTATAATAGTATTTCTTCCTCCAGGACACCATATCTGAAAGAATCACGAACAAATTTTAAAAAGACAATGAGAAGAGTAAGTAGAGGCGGAGAGGGAGGGGAGGGGGGGCGAAACACAGACAAACTTATTCATAAGTTTAAAATTACATTTTCTAACTGGTTTCATCAGTTCATTCTTTATCTTCATCCAAATATCGTATTTTAAAGATTCCTTTATAGTATACTTAACCGAGTAGAACTCTTGTTGAGGATACTGGTTTCGATTGATAAAACCACCGCAAGCGTACTGGTAAAAATCCTCACAGGGCGATACTCTTCTATCCATATTTTCGGATATTTTTGCCGTCATTCTAAGGCATTCTCCCGTATTACATTCGTAATTCCCATTCGAGAAGGATGATTCGATTTTAGCCGACAAATTAACGTTATCTAGCAGATATCTTTCGGCCCAAATCGATTCGGGATGAACAATAAATTTCTGTTGGATAGATGACAATTTTACAGCGACAACTCCTATACCCGCCACGAGAAAAACGCTAATAGTTATAAGTAGGATTGATAAGGTTGCAACGATAGATTCCTTGTAGTGTTGAGCGTAAACTCTGATTCGAAGGATGTACGATGTTTCCTCGTTCATTTTAGGTGTTGAATTGATAGACTATTCACTCATCTCGTCCTGTTTATTGTCAGAAGTAAAAGGGGGCGTAGAAACGATTAGCATTTTTACGCATTTTCCACCGATTAAACGCAATAGACAATCGGCTATCGGCTATCGCGTTTATCTCATTAGAATTCCTACAAAAGAATTCGTTGATCGTTAAAACCGGATGTAAGTTTCCTATCCTTTCATATTGGTCATATAGTCTTTAAAAATGGTCTATAGATTCCGGTTGGTTAACGTCGTTTCTAAACAGAGAAACAGCCAAATTTTGCAAAAGAACACAATAGCTATATAATTCAATGTCAAATTGATTTCTAATTTTACATACATAATCTTTTCTTATCCTTCCATCCTTTCCTTCCTTCCTTCCGTCAATCCCATCCGCCTCCCTCCTCTTCTCTCTCTGCCTCTCTCTTTCATACTCCCTCTCCCGCTAAAAACCCTCTTTCTTTCTTTCTTTCTTTCAGTATCTCATTCGTTTTTCGTCTTATAATTTGTCTCTTAAAGTGAATTTAGAGGGTGAAAACATATGTAAATATTCACTATTTCGTTTCTTTCCATCTATCTTTATTACCTGTAAAAGGTTCAATTTATTAGTAAACAACACAATAGCGAGAGAAAGAGAGAGAAGAGAGGGTGAAGGATATCGGAATTTTTTGTTTGGTTTTATTCTTCTCTTTTAAATAATAACAATAGAAAGAAAAAGCTGGGAAATAAATTAGCATAACATCAGAGTTAGATGAAGAGGGAGCTAAGAAGAAGAAAAGGTTAAGAATGAAAGTAAAACAGAATAAACATATGGGTATTGCGTGATATGGAGATGACCGTCCCTAAATTAGAAATTTCCTAGCTAAAAATCTCTTTCTTTAGTCAATTACTTTCAAAGATTCTTTTACAATGACTAAATAATTTACTTTCAAAAGACTAATTCATCTTTTGATAAACGGTGTCGCAAAAGGTCAAATACCAATAAATTTTCATAGGGAAAACTTACTTTTTGATGTTTGGTTTACATCTTGCGCTTGTTTACAAGCAGTAATACATTTTTCTCTTTTTCTAACCATTATCGTAGTTGTATCTTCAGCTGTTTTAACTTTATTTCCATGCAAATATTCCAATTTTCCCTCTTCTGAAGTTACTACTAAAGATAAAACTTGTAGTATTTAGCAGATGCCTCCCTGTATTTACTGCTTTCTATTTTATACTATATATAAATATATATAAATATATAAAAGGCTGAGTCAGGCAGGTATATTTCATCTCCTAAATATTGCTCTCTGCTAATAGTTAGATGTTGAAATTGGCTTTTAATTTGCAGTGCATTTTTCATATAATATGGAAAGATTGCTGAATCTCTTCTTGCTGTCTATCACAAGCAGAGAGCTAAGGGGAATGAATGTGTTTTCCTACTAAGATAGAATTATAGCTTCTACATTTAGTGTTAATAAATAATAGAACAAAACGAGATAAAGGTATGTATTAATCGACTCATTCACCCTCACACACACACACACACGCAGTCTCTCTTTATTTAAAAGAAAAACTGATATTAAGACGAAGCGAGAGGAATCGATCAAGTCGATCATCTAATCTAAAGATACAAAGACAACAACTTTTTATGTACTGATTGTAATGCGAAAGGTGCCATGTATTTTCAATGTTTCCCCAACAATGTACCCACCATACTATTTCACTGTACAACACCGCAAAATTCTCCTTAATTGATTATATAGCTTACTGAACCAGACGAACTAGTAAAATATAATTTTTCTGACGTCTCTCAGGGTCACAATTCAACCCTGTCTGATTGTCTAGACATAGTATGCTAACGATAACAGGATTATGACTTTCCGATATGAGCGTTAATAAAAACAAAAAATACTGTACACTCATTTTCTCACGCATGCGAGGTTTTGAATAACGCTTAAAACGAGAGTAATAAGAGTAAGATAGAAAAGATGATGGAATACAAAATGACAAAGAGATTAGTATTGTCAAGTAACTAATTGTAAGAATAGGCTGAAGTGAAAAGTTGATAGCGACGTAAAAGTAAGCGCACCATACAGAAAAGAAAAATTCTTAGTAAATTATAGACAAACGGCGTAAATGTAAAAGTTTGCATTTTCAATCCATTTAAGAGAATGACTACTCATAGGATTACTAAACTGATTAATTGCCGTATACATTTTTAGATTGCGCAATACTGTTTAATCTCCACACTAGACAAGTATTTTATATAACAGGGACGTTAAGTATGTGTAATGGATAGCTACGCTCTTGTACGTTGTTCATAAGCCAACAAATTAAAAGGGGAGAAAAATGCTTTTTAGTTTTGTTATCAGATAAAGTTTGCTTAGTAAGCAGCAAATTTATCAAAGTAGCATCCATCCGCAGACTAGTTTCCTAGATAGGTCAAAAACGAAAACTCGGATAGAAAGACTGGAATAATTCTAGTAAAAGTGATAATTTAATTAATAAATTTGTCTGCTTATTACTCTTTATTGTTGGTTGTTATAGTAGATTTGTAGACAAACTCTCGTTTTTATTTATTACTTTCTTGTAAAATGAAACAAAACAAACAAAACATAGAAAAGAATGATAAAATAAGTGATAATTTGAATACTGGCTACACTGATATATTTGTATTTATGACTGAGGAATAAAACACATATGCTCTTTTATATAACTATGCAAACAGTGCATTAGAAAATACGCTCTTTTCTTTCTGCTTTATCTGCAAGGTAAGAAGAGATATCGCATACGTGTAATATATATTTTATCAACTTGGCTAAATGATAATATTTCCTGGAGAGAGTTAACGCACTTGAATTTTTTAAAGACTGACACGGAAAGAGAGAGATAGGGTCGATTAACAGTATGAGGGAGGGAGTGAGTGAGTCGGTGAGTGAGTGGGTGAGTGAGTAAGTGAGTGAGCGAATGAATGAACTGAGGAAAGAAGAAATCGAGAATGAATAGACTATGAAAATGATATGAAAAAAGAAAGGTAAAAGTTAAGTAATCGATAGGATTTTATCTTAATCAAACTAGAATACCTGGATAATATATATATATATATATATATAATATACATCAAACTAATAAAAGAATAAAGGAAAAGTTTAGGAAAGAAACTCGGCAACAGGCTTTCTATTATTAAAAAGAGAACAAGGAAGAAATAAGGCTTTTATTATATTTTTAATTAAAATAGCCAAAAGAAACAACAGCAGAAACAATATGAAATAAATACTATGTACTCTTTATGCAATGGCAAGACTTTGATTGTTTGCGACGACATAAAACTTCTCTTGCCGTGGTATTCATAGCAAAATAGACGACAGGATTAGTAATCAAGTTTAAGCTAAATAATATCATAACAGTTGATTTGACACCAGCCGATATCGGATTGTCGTCCTTATCCAACCACATGACAATCATCGAAGGCATATAGCTAGCATTGAATAATACGAATAGAATAATGAATTGAACAGCCAATTTTGTGTGTTTCGGGTCGAGATGACTACTATTTTGTACAGCCACTTTTACCCTGGCCCTTTTCACAGTAACGTAGATTTGACAATAAACGAAGCAGGTAACAATGTTGGGAACGGCGAAAACAGCAACAGTAACAAATATTCCGTATGGTATATTATCCTCGAAAACGAAACAGCATACGCAACTGAAGCGTAATCTAACTGGGACAAGATGGAGAAGTTGAGGTAGTGAAACAAGTAAAGACAAATTCCATACAATTGCAATGCATATTAGGGTAGTTTTCATGGTAATTTTAGTTGAATTTCTTAAAATTGCTACATAACGGTTACAGGCAATAAAAACCATACAAAATGATACTGCAACGGGAGGAGAGAAAGTCAAAAAAGCGAAGAATCTGCATAATAATCCATTAACGAAGAAAATTTTGAATTCTTCCATCAAAAACAAAAATGCATTAATTGATAAATAGATATCGGCCACGAATAAATTAACAACGTACATGTTATGCGGAGTTCTCAACTTTTTGTTCACAAATATTATTAGAATTGATAACAAATTTGTAAAAAAGCCTAATATTGAGATGATCCCATACGTAAGAGTAACATTCTGATTAATTTGCATATTCCTCACAGTGAAATTGGTTATATTACTCATTGTGTCGTCTCTGTCTCTTTTTCGTTCTTTTTCTCCTCTCTCTCTCTCTCTCTCTCTCTCTTTCCTTTCCTCTAATCTCTCTCTTTCTCTCCTTATTTTTTGCTCTGTTTCTTTATTTTTCTTTACTCTTTCTTCCTTACTCACGTTGTCCGTCTCTCTCTCTCTCTCGCTATCTCACCTTTCACTCTCAGCCTCTCTCTTTCTCGTTCTCTCTTTCGCTCTCTATCTAGCTTTCACTCACTCTCTCCCGCTCTAATAGTAGCTTTTACTACTTACATATATACTTATATATATAAGATATATATATATAAGAAAATGTATGTCTGTCTTATCTTTGATAAGACGAAGGGGGTTATGTAAATAGTGGAATTAGAAGCTCGTTTATTGGTTAGCTGACTCTAGTTTTCTTTTTTGATTTTAATAGACGGCGTCTAATGAATAAAAAATATAAAATAATTATTTGTAAACGGTGTTTTTAGTTGTGTTGTTGAAATTGATTTTTGATGAGTTGTATTAATACTTTGCCCAACTAATCATATTATTTTCGTAAACAACACTTGACTTGCTTTTCATTTGCTGTCGATAAAAACAAAAATATCCAAGTGCTTATTATAAAATACTAATATATATATATATAAATTTATTCTATACAGTATATACGTTTTGGATGGAAAGTAATCAAACTCTTTCCTTTCAAGATCTATTAAAAGGTTTATGTGAAAGTTAAAATACGGTAGAAATCATGCAATCTATAGGTTCTTATTATGTAATCTCTTAGTAGTCCGTATTTCATCCGCAAAGAGACTGAAAAGGGAGGCAAAGGGAAAGAATGGGGGTTATTCAGAATAAAACTACCGGATTAAATATCTATTTGGCTAAAGTTGACTCTCCACAGCTTTGTAAGTGGATTGATAAGGAAAGCAGGACATACTTGAGATATAAAAATACACTTATTTCTTCCTATTTTTTGCTTTCCTTTTCTTTTCATTTTCCCTTTAGAGATTATTTTAAATTATAAAAAATCCACAATCTACAATCTACAGTGTACATTGTATTTGTAATACACTGTATGTTCAGTTTACTGTATGGTTCACCCTTTTAACTCTTTCATCAAAAGTAAAAGACTTTAGACTTGGAGCTATTTCTTAAAAACTGTTTAATATATCCTTTTTGTCCTTTTCAAACGTGTCTGCTTGCTTGGAAGGCGAAAGTGTAAGGACATGATTTTTCTTTTACAGATGGCGTTCTTAGTCTTGTTTTTCTTTTTTGCAGCTTTTTCTCACACTTTCTCTCTCTTCAGACCTTTCTTTTTCTTTCTTGCTTTCTTTCTTTCTTTCTGGCTATATCTGTTTGTCTGTCTGTCCGTTTCTTTCTCCCTCCATCACTCTCTTCCTCTCGCTGTTTTCTCACTCCACTTACTTTATTACGCAAAAGCTACCTTGAATAGACATATTAATATTAACTGTATATTCTGTATATATATATATATATATATATATAAACGACATTAGTCAGAAACTTTGAAAAGAACGTTTGTAGTCGAATAAACCTAGAAATTAAACTAATAAAGTTAGTTGGCGTTTTGTTTTCGTTTATTGGAGATTTGCAGATTAAAGGATATTTGACTAATAAGGAGATGATAACAAAGTTTGGCGATGAAGAGTAGTTATCTAGAGTAATTAATTTAACGTTTGATAAGGAATGATTCTTTTGATTAGTTGGTAAATTAAGAGTTTGGTTTTACTTTAGAAGATGCTAACGCCCTTTTTAAAGAGTATAAATTACTTGGTGTGACCGATTCTAAATGTCTCTTTTCAACATGGCAAATAACTCTTCTATACTTCTATACAAGTCCCTATTTTCTTCCGACACAATGTATCAAATAGTCTACTTTTGTATTTTAGGATGTGCCGTGTTTCTAGCTTTGGTAGGAACAATTGGAAACATTCTATCTGTTCTCGTTCTCAGAAGGCCAAAGATGAGAAATACGACTTCCGCGACTTATATGCAATGGTTGGCGGCAATTGATACTTTTCTTTTAAATTTGATTCTTGTTCCTTTTAACGTCATTCCCCTCCTGCATTTGTGGCACGTTAGCAACTCATTTGCCAAAGGCTACGTTTGTCTGTACATCTATCCATTCTTTAATTGGCTATCCTCCGTCGAGCCGTGGATTATTGTAGCTATGACGGCTGATCGCGCAATCGTCGTTTCACTTCCCACTAAAGCCAAATCGATTTGTACGAAAAAAAGAGCAAATATTCTCTGCAGTGTCCTTCTGCTTTCCCTAATGGTTTTTCATTTTCAAAAATACGTTACAGTCGTCGGAGCAAGGATAATAGTTATGCCTTTTAACAGATGGATGTCCATTCCCTCTTGTATTTATAGGAACGAAATTTCAAAAGTACTTAACGGAACTGTCTTGGGTGTTCTTCAGTCACTCTCAACTGGAATATTGCCCGCCTTCTTTTTAATTATTACCAATATTATTATTGTTTACGGATTGGCTAAAGCAGATAGGCAGAGAAGAATAATGACGTCATCAGACTCGGCCACCGAACATAATTCCAAGTATGGGCAATAAAGAAATAATGCACATAATTTTTTCTAGAACGAATCAATTTCTTTTTACGAGAGAGATTCTTTTTCTTTTACCATAAAGCTTATACGAAAATATGGAGACTGTATCTCCAAAGCAGAGTACAGTATACTCTATATAAAGTATTCATGAACATGTATAGTTTACCTTTACACGCCTGTAAAATTGCTTATAACCTATTCCTAGTCATGTAAAGGTAAGTTAAACAGACATTTACTTCACTTTATAATTATTTAATGATTTCTCTGTCTGTCTGTCTGTCTGTCTGTCTGTCTGTCTCTCTCTCTCTCTCTTATATCTTTGCATTCATTTTGCTCATACTTGAAGACAAATAGCCATAATGTTGATCTCTGTTTCAATTCTTTTTTGGTTCACTTACCTCCCAGTTGCCGTATGGTTTTTATACTTTAAGGCACTAGGTTATATGGATGCGTCGGCTCATCCAGAAGATTTGGAATTTGCCAAAATGGGTCATACAATTTTAACGCTCATCAGTTTTGCAAATACGGCCGGAAATTTCTTCTTATATTGCTTAACTGGTCAAAGATTCCGGCAAGAGCTTGGCGAAATGTTGGGTATAAAGCGTAATTCAAAGGTAAAAGAGGTTGGTAACTCTTCAGTAAAAACAGTTTCTCAAAAATTATAACCACAAATCGAATCCACATCACATTCCTTTATCATTGTACTGGAAAACTCATTACCTCAACTGTTCCACAAATGAATTAATAATCTATTAGACATATGAAAAAAAGCAAGCTTCTACTGGTGACTGACTTGTGGCAGAAACTATCATAGCCTCAACTAACAGATGGAAGGGAAACGAAAGAAACGATCGACCACAAAAGGAAGTTTTCTTTTTACTTTTTCATTTGCGTATGTATAAGCTATTAATAGAAGATATAAGCTTTCTTTTAACGATCGACTGACTGTTTTATCATTATCACATCAAAGTGCATATTCTCACGATTTCCCCCTATACACAATTCCACATCCCATGCGATAGAACTTACCGCCAGAAACTATCCAACTCTAAATGAATCAAGTCATCACTTTTATTTATTCACAGTGTTCAAGTTTCTTAAAGATTTTAGATCTATCGTTGTTATTAATATCATTACCAAGAGTTAACAGTCTCGGATAAATCATTACACCACTTACAGTCATTCATTCTTATCGGTTATCAACGCTATTTATCTGTCCTTCCGTCCCTTTTCCTCTTTTATTTTACTTTTTTTCCCTTTCTGCTTGTCTGCCTATCTCTATAGCTGCCCGTCAAACAGACAGACAGACAGTGAGTGAGTCAGTCGTTCTTTCTTTCAATCTCTCTATTTCCATCCTCACATAAAATTTTCCATCCTCCTTCTCCTCCTCGTCTAGTTTCTCCGTCTATAATTTGTGAATTGCTACACCCTTTCTCACTTTTCTAAATAATAAATTTGATCCTTTTGTTCTGAAATTATACTAAATTTCTTTCATTATTCGCTTATTGCATTCACTATGAAATAATTTGGACTAGCTGGTGTAATGGATTTTCTGTTAAACTATATATACTTTGACTTATTCTGTCCTTGTAAAGTTGAAATCAATAAACTATTAACATATAAAGATTTAGACAAAATACTTTACTTCTCTCTCCCTCTAATTCTCCTCCTCTCTCTCTTTCTCTCTCTTTAATACAAAACTTTCATATTTCTTTCATATAAAAAAGTAATTTAATTCAAAAATGACTGAATAAAACAAATTCGGAAACGATAGTAACATAGTAATTGTATAAGTCACGTGACAAAGCGTATTAAATTAATTCGGACAAATTGATTATTTCCGACGACAGTAATTTACTTCACAACCACGTGATTACAGTCGAACATCTTCGGATTCTATAAGTTCATCTCCTTCTTTCGAACTTTCAAGAGTTTGCGTACTGATAGAAGTTGCTGCACTATTTTGAATCTGGTAGGTTTGAGTATATGTGGTATGCTTCCGCCTTTGTAGTTCCATGTCACCTGAACACAAAGTTGAAAAGTAGAGAAATCAATATGAAATCAGCTTTAAAACTCTTTAACCTATATACAATTGAAAGGAGAAAAAATAAAAGATTCAATATTTTGAAAAGTTCTTAGTCAATTATTCAATTAATGCTTTTCAATTAGGAACTTTGAACGATAATACAATAAAAGACGAGAGGTAGGCATATGAGTAGCATAGTTAGTCAGTTGATCATGGTAGTCTAAAAGAGACAAATGCATACATTGCTCTTTGGTTTGTTTCTCTTTTTCCCCTCTCGTACGCATAGATACAAACACACCGTCGATTGTATGCATGTACTAATATTTTATTTATACTAACACAATAACATCATTATCAGACAGTAATTTTTAATTGTCGAACTTTATCTGATAAAAATTCAAGACACGGCAGTCAATAGAGAATTGGTCAATCTACTAACGTGTACTTATTTTAATGAGGGAGCTTTTTGAAAGAAAAAAATAACACACAATTATTGAACTCCTATCATCTAGTTCTTCTCTTTTTCTCTTCAATTTACGGACAATGAATCAGAATTAATTAGTCTTACTATTATAAAGGTGGCGTAGAAATGAGTGGATTTTTAACCTCTTGGCATAAAATTGTAAGTGTGTACCGCAATGAGTACAGGGGCATTGGATTTCCTGACGTTCTCTTCCTACCTAATCTCTTTGTTAGGCTTATAAATATCAGTTAAAAATTGAAAAAATTAGAAAGGATTAGTTGTAGAATATTCCTTTCTCTTTCCCAAATTATATTTATTTCCTATCCGAATAAATGGATTAAATTGATTAATAAATTGACTAATTAATTAACTAATTTGTTGATTACTTGGCGAGTAGACTACTGATAGGAAAAGAATACATACCGTCGCTAAATCGAAGACGATCTTCTGCCAGATGGTCCATTTTTGCAGCAGTTGGAGCTGATTTGATTAGCCTGGAAACAGTCTGTTTTACGTTTCTCTCCGGTCTTATAATGATTATATACATCTTTGGTGCAAATAAACATACGAGGGTTACTGTAGCCGACAAAGATACAGAAAATGCTGTCGTTATCAATCGAACGCTTATGTTAGCAGAAGTCGATGCATAGATTGGAACAAAAGCTAACCATATGATACAAATTGTATACATTGTAAAACCGATGTGCTTGCTTTCGTTAAATGCCTCAGGTATGTTTCTAGTAAGAATTGCATAGATTGTGCAGATAACAACTAAGAACATGGGGTAAATTAAGCCTATAATAAAGCTAAAACCTACAGCCGATTCGCAAACTAATTGGTTAGAGGCTCTTGTGGGATAATAGTGCCTAATGTTAGGTGGGGAGAAAACCAACCAGATTGTACTTATAATAATTTGAACAAATATTAAAACTGTACAAATAAGGATTTGAGAGACCGGTGAAATAAACTTTGGTCTCCTCGAAGTCCTTCTTCCAGCGCTGAATATCCTATATATTCTGTTGGTTTTAGTCAATAGAGCCGAGTAGGAGAGACTAAAGCTGAAACCAACCGCAAATTTTTGAACTGCGCAAATAATCTTTGTTGGTTTTAAAAGAAGAATGAAGCTAATGAAATAGCACAACAAGAGGCCCAGCAGTAGCATAGATGATAGTTCTCTTCCGGAAGCTATTAGTTAAAAGGTCATTAATCGTTATTTGTCTTTTAAATATTTTTCCATGAGAGGAGAATCTGCTGTACAGCCGACTTCACCTTTGTAAAGCCGTCTGACATTCCCTCCCTAACACAAAAGACGCACACGCCCGCACTCTTATTCTCGTTTTCTTCTTTAAGAAGAAAGGGAACTTAAGAAGAATTTTTTATCATATTCCTTTTATAAACCTCTTGTATAAGAGAAGGGTGAACTTTTAAAAGAACGTAATAAAATTTAAGGATAATTAGCTTTTCTGCTGAAAATTAAAGGCTAGATAATAGATTTATAGGAAAATAGCTCTCTCTCTCTCTTTGTCTTACTGCTTTATAAATATAATATCCTGATTAATGACCTTTTACAACAGCCGTATCCCATCTCCTGCAAAAAACAGCCATCACAAATAACGTTGTAATTATTCCAATAGACGCCAAACAGGCGGCAGATAGAGCTCCGGGTGAAAAGAATTTTAGGTATTCAAGAGGAAGCTCCTGACAAACTTTCAAATCTCCAGATGGTATTGTCCCTTCAGGGCACAGTAGACATTCGTATTCCGTTGGACGAATATGCCATTTAGGGCACTTTGTACAAGTCCAGCAACAGATGACAGATCCCACTTCTTGTTTGATTTCGTTAAATTCGCATGGTGGAGAGCAACGACTCGGGGGATAATCAGTCTGATTAAGGCGGAATTGAAGATTTGAGCGATTGATCTGTAGCAAAGGAATAGATGTGCGTATGAGTAAGAAAAAGCTAATCAAAGTGTTATCATTAAGTGTAAAAATTAGGAGACGCGAAAAGTTTACTAATCGCGAACTCGGCGAATAATTTGGCATTCTACTCGAATATTTGGCCTATTATTGGACGAAACGAGAGAAGGAAGGATAGAGAAGGAGGGAGAGAAAGAGAAAAGGAAAGAGAGAGAGTATCTCTGAAGAAATTACTGTCCGATAATATATGGTCTTTAATAACATTATAAAAATTACAAGTAAATCTGTCGATAACTAGGTTGTCAAGAGATAAAATTTATGTGGTATAATATAAGAACTATATACAGTCTATACTGTATATACCGTTTAATGAGTAGATATCCTGTATAGCATTTAATCTTAGATTCTACTCTTTTTGGATTATAGGTTAAATTGCTAATTATCATTTATCTCTGCCTTTAACTCAACAGAAATCAACTTTCTGAGCTTTCTGACCTCATTATACAAACCTTTAAGCCATTTCCCTCGTGAACTCCAACTGTATGCCAACCGAAACTACCTGGAGAAGTTTGCTTATAGTGAAGGATTCTGTATCTGGGAGGTCCGTCTCCGTTGGGTAGAAAGTTGAAACTCAGCCCAGAGAGACCGGTAAAATTCACTTTTAGTAGATAAGACTTAAGCAATTCACCGTCGTACGGATCCATTTCCTTACAAAGCCCCTTTTCCTTACAGTAATCCGCTTGCATATTCTGTACAAGAATAATTATATACATTTGATGGAGAACGTTAGTAAAATAACGATGCTACTTAACCCTTAAAGCGACCGCAAAAGCCATTACCGAATCGCTAACGAATTGCAGTTGAGCTTCGGCCACATAACCGTTTTCCTTGCTGGGCACTTCATCTCCAGTGCAAATTTTACTATAATTTCTATTGAAGGGTGTACTGTAACTGCGTAGGGAATAACTCTTTTTTTAATTTGTCTATTACAGTACACAACAACTACGATTGATTTGCTATAGCTACTGGCACTGTTTTCATGATTATACTTAATCTTATAAATAGGATATACAGAATAGTTGGATGATGATTTTCCTTATTTCTTCTATGCTCATTAACTCGTGCATTCGCTCATTCGCTTCATTCGTTCATTCATTTGCACTTTTACAGGTTTTTTGGCAACATCAACTAATCGGTCAAGGCTACGAAACGACTCGATTCGGCTTTCTAAAATTATCAAAAGTATCAGATAAGGCTATCTTTAGAGTAGCGTTTGCTTGTTTCCATTTTGCGGTTTATTTTTGAATTGTGCATGTATAATACTGACGAAATATTCAAAGAACGATAACTATTCTCCTTCCAGACGATTATCAGCATTTGACCATCTAAATTGGCCAAATATATTTTGGTATACATTGCTATGGAGAGGAGAGAGGAAAATAATCAAATTCGTTGTTTACAGTGCACGGCATCCTATATTATTCATTTAACTATTTAGTAATAAGGCGTAACTGTATCGTCAACCTGGGAAATAATATGTAACAATGATCGGTTAACAGAAACAGGAGAGGGTTAAACACATATTATCATTAATAATTAAAAAGATAAGGATTAAAGTTGAATTTGATTTTTTTTGCAGCAAAGTTTTACTGCCGGCCCATTCACCCCACTGTTGCATCCCCTTTCGTTTCTATGTAATTACCCGATAAAACAGAGAAGTGAAAAATTTAATTTTTTAATGCAGGTTTATTGTTAAAAAGTTGGAAAATTTAATAGTTTTCCTTCTTCCGGTTAATTATCTAAAAGAGAAATGTATTTTAACGATAAAATCCATTATTTTTTCAATTTACTCTCTCATTGAAAATGGAGAAGAAGAGGATAAAATGGAGGAAAGATTCTATTATATTTGATAAAGTTTGTTGAAGAATTTTATTGAAAAACGAAGAAAAGAAAGAGACGAGAAACAGGTGAAGAAGAGAATTGACTGATTGAAATAATCAATCTTTTACGGTTGGCTAAATCTTCAATTTTTGTAAATATTCACCTAACCAGAAAGGAAATATGTTATTGACTTGATATAGAAGAGTAACGAAAAGGAGAGGAAACAACAAGGCAATACTAGAGTTTGTCAGTTATATTACCTTTGCTACATCTTACAATTATAATTCATTATTTCATGTTTCTTGCTCTTTGTTCGCCTAACAAAGTAATAATAAAAAATACTAAAAAAAGACTAAAATCCTATATACATTAACTGTAAATATTATTAATGATTATGTGTGAGTTTCTTCTTCTTCTTGGTATAGTTTCTCTTTTTTTCCGCTTTCTTTCCTCCTTCCCCTCTCCTCCCTCCTCACTCCCTCTTTTCACGCCCAAAAGAAATAATTCGTTTGCCTTTATTAATTTGATGTTATGGAGGAAAGATCACGTAAAGTTCGTGATAGAACAATGGACAATAGAAATGCAATTTTCCATAATTTTCTGATTTTACGCACGTGCTTTTACTGGCAAATTAATCTTTCAATATGCAGACGGATAGAAAGTAGCCATACAAAATTAATCAATAGACATTTTAGCTAATTTTTTATATTGCCTCTGACTATACTATACACTTTTATATTTCTATTATGCCCCTCTTCTAATCAGCAAGTTTACACGAATTGAAAGACACGGATAGTTTGCCGAAAGGTTTATCAGAAAATTGCTTTTGTCTTCTCTTCTTTTTTAATTTTACGCCAATCGTCTCGAGGATTTAAAAACAGAGAGGCTAGTAAAGAGATATTTTCTATCCTCTTCTAACTCTTCAAGGTTTGTAACAAACTCGTAAAGATGCTCTTTCTCCTCTCCCACAAACGATACTACACCTATTGCATAATAAATATACCGGAAATTGATATCGTCCTTTCTGTGTCGTTTATGTACAGCGTACGTTATACATTTATTCGTTGTATTCTTTAGTTCACCAACCATCCCCATCCATCAAAATAGAACGTCACATATTCGGAAATGTTGCGATAGCTACTTTGTATTTTAAGTAAAGTATTCATGCATCTTTAATGAAGATATTTTATAAAGAAAACTCATCCTGTTGTGCTTTAGTACTTTTTATTACTGCTAATTGCTTAGATTGATGTTAGATGTCTCTGCCTACTTAATAATATGTTTTTCGTCGTGAAACCAAAGGGTCTATCAATCTTCATAATTGGAACACCTGAATGGCTTGATGAATATACAAAGTCACGGTTTTCGTCTCTCTCTCTCCCTCTTGCACACACACACACTTTTAATCGTAAGAAATACATAATTTCCCGCCACTTTTATACCCCCTCATATCGAGAGGTCTAAAGGAGAAAGATCAGTACCAAATTTAACCGAGTTTGTGACAAAACCTGCATAAACTTTCATTCTGCCCAAAATCCTTCGTGCCTAAACAAACCTTGTTATAGATGCTTTCTTCTTTAAGCTGGATTGTCGGCCTTTTTCTGTTCTTGTCGTACTTTGTACAGTATATATAATGCATATATTCTAGTGTATATTATTCGCTACATACAGTATGCTCTTTTTAATCTATCCGCTATTTTGATCGCCTAGAGGTAGTTTAAAAAATAATTAAGGTATGTTATTATTATCCATATTGAATAACCGTTGCGTTCCAATAATTATTGTTTAATAAACAAATCATGGAAAGAAATGCTTGATTAAGGTGCACACTAGTGAGAAGCACAAACATGTTTAAAGATCTCATTAGATAACATAATATCTACATACAATAAGAAGCAATTCATCTTTTGGTATTGTTAAACGATTCTGGTTAAAAGATAATCTATACAATCTATATAAAGGGAACAGAAAGAGTGTCCTTAATTCAGAAACGTCATTTTTAGCGTTAGATGCTGAATAGATAAATCTCTTTTCGGTTAAACTGCCTATCACTTTAAACGAAAAGAGTAAGTAGTATTATTGTTAAGTTTTCAAACAGACAATGAGAGAGTAACACTAACTATCCTTCGCTTTCTCTTTAGTATTAATTAAACGACAAATAATAGATAATATGAAATAATTCTTTGTGTTATAATTTATTATTAGCCACTAAATCACGATTTTGAAATACGATCTAATTTTCTATTTATTATTCTATGTACATAGTTACTGTTTAAGGTCTACATTTGCATGTCAATAAATATATATGTATTGTATATAATGTACACAGTATATAAAGTGTATGTAGATAACGTGTACATAGTATACGATAGGTATGTACTCTATGTTATGTAACAAACAGTATGATGTTATAATTTACTCTCTTTAAACATTGTAGAAGTCTTATTTACGTTAATTCTCGTCAAAAATTTTCATTCTCAAGGTTTCCGACTAAATATATACTATATATTTATATATATATAATCTCTTGCTCCCTCCCTCTCTCTCTCTCTCTCTCTCTCTCTCTCTCTCTCTCTCTCTCTCTCTCTCTCTCTCTCTCTCTCTCCCACACCCCTCAATCCCCCTCCCCCATACTCTCAATATAAACACATGTCCTTACTCCTATATTAAACTGCTTTAGCTTGATGTGCAGACTCTGAAGTAATTTTCATTCACACATCTATCAACACAGTGTGGTGACTCTTTCGAAGATATTTTTGGATGAGTGATTAAGGATTTTCTACCTGCACACTTTGTTAATGCAATTGTCGAGATTTACTTTTTTCTAGCTTTAATGAATTAAACTGTACTCTCTTACGTACTTGAAAGAATAAGGGTTTTTGAAATAAAATTGATGACAATTAGTTTTTTCTAGGGAAAAAGTATCTCTATAGAAGCATTCGATGAATGGGAAAAAAAGGGGAAAAAGAATAAAAAAACTGGTAATTGAATAGGGAAGAATCTAGGAAAATTGTCTTTATCAGTTTAATTCGTTAATAAATAAAGATTAGATTATCGAAAAAAAAACAGCGTATAGTTACGAATAAGATAAATAATGGATGGTAGTGTTAGACTGTCATTTCATTCCGTAACCCTAAAGAGATGATACAGGATAAAAGGAGGAAAAAGAGAGAAGATGATAAAGGGGGAATGTGATACGTATGTGTATGTGTGTTTGTGTGTTGGACAGAAAACAATATCGTAAATGAAAAGAAAGCATAGTTTTAACATAGCACAATTCAATTAGGGATGCGTGCGTTTTATATATAAAAAAAAACCCCAAGTCGCCTTATGTATTCACTTTCACGTGACATTTTTAATTTTTCTTCATTTATCATTAAGATACGCTACTTATTCTTACGAAGATAATCTTTCATCTATCCATTCCCTTCCTACATGTTAATATTGAAAAATGTATAAAACGTATAAAATTATAACGTTCTTTGTTTTTTTTTCCTTGACTTTCATCCTTTCATACTTTCATTCTTTCAATCTTTCTCACTCTCCTTTAATTCCATACTTTCTTTTATTTCCCCCCTTTTTGTCCTTTTATATAATCATATGAAAAGAATAGTAAATTTTTTACTTACGATTGATTGAACTTGCATTTGAAATAATATTCCCAGTATTCTCTGAACCATGGATTATCCAAATTTGAATGGGGTCTTAATTTAAGGAAATATTCGTCAAAGCCTTTTAGAGGTTCGGCATACGGTTGGACGGTGATAGCACCTTCCACTTGCGCTTCGTTACCATCCGAAACTAGAATTCTTCCGCCCCAGCCGTCGCTGCCAATCCAAGCGAAATAACCTGTCATATTGTTCCGTTTGACAGCTTTCATCAGTTCACCAACTTCCTGGTCGGAACCGAATACTATTACACCTGTTAAAAAAACGACTTGTATCGAAAATTTTATCACGTCTTTTACAAGTTAAAAATAAGCCAGAGGAAAAGGCCACTAGAAATTTGTATTGTAACATTTGCTTTTCTTTCGCTCGTTTCCTTTCTTGTTTTACGAAGGGAAAGAAAAGACAAACCTCTTGCGCTTGAATCTGCTCTCAGCCTCTGTACTATCTTATCGTAGGCCTCATCGGTTGCCACACCTGAATCCTTAATTAATTTGTCAGTCACAGCCAAGCAAAGACCTTCCATTCTTATCCTGTCATAAATCTCGGCGTAGGCCTTTTCACCGTAGCTCGATTCCTCGTAGACAATGGATACATATGTCCAATTCAGCATTTTCACCAATTCAACAATCACCTCTGCTTGATTTTTATCCGATGGTATTGTTCTCATAAAAAAGGGGAAGCGTTTCTCAGAGCTCAGTTCCGAGCTGGTTGAAAAGAAGCTGACCTAAAAAGGCGAAAGGTGATTCTATGGATAGACGTCGAGAGACGTTTTCTTTGTTCATCTCACGATACGGTCAGTGAAAAGAGGAGGTGACGAATAGACGCATTTTTTCATTAATCACCTCATTGCCTCTAAGGATTGGAGGCATTCGAGCGTTTTATATATGTGAAACCTTTAACTCTTCCTTGACAGAGAAGAGAAAGAATAATAACCCTAGCGTGCCTTATTAATCTTGTAAAAATTCTTGATTCTTATCCATTTTCCTGAGACTAATCGACAAGGTTAAGGTTATCGAGAAGAAATTAATACAACTATCTCTTTTTCCCTTCATTTTCGCCTGTATCAATTTTTTTGCGAAGAAGGAGAATGAGAGAAAGAAGAGGATGGAGGAAAGGAGCTTTTGTCTTCTTTGCCTTTGCCTTCTCTTCTAGACTAAATGTCGTCATTAATTTACGACAATCGATAATATATGTCAAAATACAAATATATATTACTAGTACAGTATATAAGACATATTTAAACCTTAAATATTTAATAAAGCTTTTCTTAAAAAATAACAAGCTATATCCTTCTCTGCATAAATATATTAATTCGAAGAGAATGGAAAAGAGAGAGAGCCGGATTACGAAGAGTGAGAGACAAGAAGAATGAGGCAATACTGTGGAACAGGGGCGGACGGTGGAGGAAACGGAGAATGACGTGTGAGAACGGACAGACTCCTGCCGCCTGTAGTGGTGCTTATGTTTTTCTATTTACGGCGTTAGTAATGTAAAGGATACTCTGTCTATATTTGATTTTAGACGTAGTTTCATTCGTTATCTCCTCGCATCAAAGACCCCATAATGAAACAAATAAAATACTTAAAACGAACAGTAATGCGTATTGAATATCTTACTTGAGGGATTTTAAACAACTTTAACAAATTTGCAACTTGAATTGACGTAACACTGGACGGGGCGGCAATTACTCCTGCCATTACTTCTGCTCTCTTGCCACTTGAACAATCGGTGGCGCCGGTTAACTTTGACACTGAACCTGTTTTTTTTTTTAATTAATTTTTCAACGTAAAACGACGAAAAATATTCGACGAGTGTTTGCTTGTATTCTCTTCAATTTCGCCATTGACAAACATTTAGATTATACTTTATTATCATAGGTTGTTTAAAAACTTTTAACCTTACATACGTTTCGTTTACGCACTCACCGACTTATTGCCCTACTCAAATGAACATTTTAAAAGTAAGCGTTCTTTGAATTTTCCGTTTATTAAGAGAAACTCGCTATCAACTCTTTAATTGTTGAACAAGAAGTAAACGCTTAGTAAGGAATAGAGAAATGATAATTAACCCAAACAATTGTTTTTATGGTTTCTTTAAACAAAGATCAAATGTTTTCGTTTGTTTGTTCGTTCGTTCACTCTCTTATTTTGCATTTAAATTAAAAGTTGGAAAGGAGGAGAAGATGAGCGAGCTTTCGGATTGAACAACACGAAATATGTGTCACTTTCAATATATTTTTTAGAGAACAGCAAAAAGCGAATGCAAGTATAAATAAAATCTAGGCTCCTGTGGCCGATTTACTATTTTGCTGCGGTGGGATTTTTCAAAATGGTTTATATAAATATAAAAGCAAAATAAATTCAATAAAAAACTCTATTCATAAGAAATATACAAAATTTTTCCAATTATTTCTAGCTATGTAACCAAATTATATAACTATCTCTATTTCATATTCTAGTTCTTATTCTTCATTTTTCTTTTCTCTTCTTAATCATGCTACCTACCCTATCTTTAATTGAGATCTTTCTCTCTTTCCTTTACGACGTTGACATAATATCGTTTATAGTAGGCAACTTGTATCTAATCAATTGATTTTTCGTTAGAATTTGATCATGACCTAACCCTAACGTAAATAGAAAGGAGAAAAACTATTAAGGATTGTTAATGACAAGACAGGAGACACTCAGAAGAGAGCATTCCGCAGTCACAACACTTTCTTAATCTTACGTGTAAAAGTAGAGAGCTGTATGGATAATGGATACGTTACTCTTTTATTCGACTATTAGAAATAAGGGAAAAGGAGAAATAGATAGTGAAGAATAGATAGAATACATCACCCTTTTCATAATCATCAAAAAAACTTTTAATGTGCTTTTTTTATCTCCTGATTTTTACCTACTGTGATCATTTCTCTCTCTCTCACTCTATCTCTATCTATCTATCTATCTATCTATCTATCTATCTATCTATCTATCTATCTATCTATCTATCTATATATCTATACATCTATACATCTATACATCTATCTATTTATCTCTGGCTATCTCTTTCTTCCTTTTCCCCTCCCCCTTCTTCTCACTTGCTGCCTGTCCCCTATTGCTCCTCTATCCTCTTCCTCTTAACCTCAATGCTTTCTTCTTCCCTATATATTTGTTCTCTCTTATGAAATAGTCGTCTTCTTTCTCTGCTCTTCGATAAACGTTAGCGATATGCTCATGTAACAATTAATAATTTTTTTAGCTAGTAACGTAAGATCGATATAATATCATCTGCGGTTGGTGACCGTACAATTTTGCAAATTAGTTTTTAGAAAAGCCTATTCTGCGCCTTTCGCATGCTCTGGAAATGCTCTGGAAATGCTCATAGAGAACGTACTAAAGAGTTATTTAAGAAGTTTCTTACTTGAAAGTTATACTAGCTATAAAGCTAATTTAATGAACCTGTAGGTTATATATGAATTGAAATGACTAGGCGAAGCCAGTGAATATTGGCCTTTTGTATGTCGTACAGTGACAAAATTGTCTCTCTATCTATCAACTTGTTAAGTTGCGGTTACTCTGTCACGAACATGCCAAGACGACCCATCAGGAAGCCGATAGCTTTCCTCACTCAAACCAAAGAAACAAGTGAATTTACTTACCGCGTATAAAATCGACTGACTGCTCTAAACCGTAAATATCTCTATCACAATCATCCTTAATTCGTGCTCCTAGATTAATCCCAGGGATGATTTTATTGTCGTTAATCCATCTATCAAAAAAAAGAAACGAAAATGCTATAGGAAATTTACACACCCGAAAGGATTTTGACAAAGATAGAGAGAAGAGAAAGGAAAAAAGGGTTAGCATGCTCCTTCTCTCCCTTTACGATTTTCTTTCTTTTTCTTTTCCTCTTGCAAGACATGCAAGTTTTGTTTATATGAAAAACCCTTATCCGTCAGTTAATACTGTCATTTACCAAATGTTTTCTCTAGAAGGAAATTAAAAAGCAGCATATCTCTAAAAATCTGTTATTTAACAAACTTAACAAAGGGAGGGATGGAGGGAAGGAGGGGAGGAGGAGGGCAGGGAGACAGGGATAGTCAGATTAATATATATATATATATATATAAATTTATATATTGATAAATAGATAGATAGATAGTTAGATAGATAAATAAATAAATAGATTGATCGATCGATTGATTGACTATTTGATAGATCAATTGATAGCAATTTGTTTACTTCTTTCGTTTGTTAAATAAAATATAGGTAATGTTGAGAAAAACAAAAAACCGTTTCCGATTGGAAAATCTTGGTCAAATATTGAAGAGTTTTTTCAAAATTATTCGACCAAGTGAACTGAAGCGAAAATAAAAACTAGATTGAAATTAAAAACTGCTAAATAGCAAATTAAATTCAATTGATAACTTTTTCGGAGAATAATAATTAATACTAATTGCAATCTTTCTTAATTGCGCATTCCTTAAGGCTTATTGAGGAGTTAGTTAAATTTAAAGATCTACCTGATTGTGTAAAGCATAGCTTCAGTCGCTTGAATTCCTCCTTGGGGCATGACTTGTCCACAAATTAAGTGCTCATCTCTTTCGTGGATCATCATTAATCCACCTATAGCTACATCGCCATCTATAATGGCCACCTGATCTTTCTTTGGCCATATCAACTCACAATTAGCAACTGAGACAAGTAGAATAATGATCGAGTTCATTGCATCATTCTGCAAACAAAGTATAGTATTGTAACAAGAAATTTGAGAACTTCGCTTCGGTTAGCATATTAACAATATAATCTATGTTTAAAATGAGAAAGAGAAGCAATCGAATAAATAATTTACAAATACGTGCTGGGTAAATTAGCTGAAACTTTAAATCAGACAACCAACCAACCAACCATTTAGATTATATTGATTTTATCTAAAATTAGATAGCAAAGAGATTTTCATCCAATCTATGATCAGATTTAAAAGAGTCAATGTTCTCAATTAAAGTCGATATTATGTATAAATACATAAGGCATTAATACTATTAATACTATTAGTACTATAAATAGAAAGATATTGCTTGTTCTTTCTACACTTTTATTACTGTTTTTCTTCATTTTCCAATCCAATCAAAAAGTCTTTTATCATAGATTATATACAACTTTTCAACGCAATTTCAATTAACTCTACTACACACTTCAAAGACGAAAAATCTTAATTCTTAGCTATTTTCAACCTCTCTTTCATCCCTATCAAGTTGTCTTTCGGTAAATAATCACACATTTTCAATTGATATTTCATAGCTGGAAAGTGATGAGATAATCAGTATAAACTTTAGACTAGCGATAAAATTCGTTCACATTTCACAAAAATATTGTCTTCGTCATAGAGGACACGAGGAGAGAAGGGCAGAGCATGTCCGTTTAAAGCATCAATAACCTTCCCTTCTCGATTCCTCTACAGTTGGACTGATCTTTCCTTTTAGAGTAAATAGCCTCCCCCTCAAGTAATGTTTAGAGGAAAATTTCACTCTATGAATTTGTCATAGGTTGTGTCAATCGTCGCCACTCGGATTGAATATTTTCTCTTTCTTTTATTCATCTATTAGGATGACACTGTTCGGTGAATGGGAAGGATCGTGGATGGCACTAGTAGTAAACTTTTTTTTTACCGTTCTACGCACCTGTATGGTTTTCAATTTCTGTACAAACTAGTCTCTCGTCCTCTCCAACGTTTCAGCGTTTGTCTTATAGCAGACAATTCTAAGTGTTGTTTGTTTTAATATTACTTGTTTTTTCAGCCGAATAAATTCCTTAAACCGGCCTCTATTTCTCGAGAGTAGCCTTCTTCTATCCTCTCTCTATATACAGAGATTATAACTTTGTTCCATCCACAAGTTGTAAAAAAGCAAAGTCAATAAAAAAATCGTAATATGGGCTACGAAAAGGAATTGAATTCCTATAATTAACGGCCTAATCGTCCATACTTTACAATAGTTTTTTTTATAAATTATTATGTCTTATCAATAAAAGGGAAAAAAGCCGATCCTTTGGTTGATTTCCTGTAAAATAATATCATCACAATTTACAAACATATAAGGAGGGGCCTATAGAAGGTCTTTTCACTTCGCTTTAGAATTCACCCTAAGCATGGCAATCATTTAGCGTTTTGTTCAAATGTTTTTCCGTGGCGGCCACATTTAGTTTTATACACTGCGCATGAGATCTACGTGCGAAGAAACCAACTAATACAATCGATGGAGATTTGAAGAAGAATATTTTCAAGAACAGAACAGAAGAGAAAAGGACAGAAAAGATTAATGAGGCGGATAAGAAAGAGAGGGAGAGAGGGATTAGATCCGTGTTTCATTCAATTGTTGACTTTGATGGATCGCCAAGGAACTGGTAACCGTTTCAAGAATGTTAAATGCATTTCGCTTATTTTTGAAAATTGAAGAAGAGTATGATGAAGAGAGTGAAAGACTCTTAGGAAGGGATTGCTAATGTCACACTCTATGTGGCTAAATGTAAGGATAATTGATAGGAAAAGGCTAACACTCTTTATTCAGTTAGCCTTCTTATTTGGTTACGTTTAAGGAAAACATAATAACAGCTAATAAAGAAAAGCTAAGACTGCCAAGGGAGAATGTAATCTAAAGTGCTGATGGTTTCTTCTCAAAAGTCTCTTATTCGGAAATAATCTCATAGAGAAATATAGAAATAAGACGGAAGGGAGAAGCGATATAGAGAGATTTAGTTTGTATACTACGTATGCTGTTTAAATAAGCTATTCATAAAGAAAAGCCTTCTTTTATATACTCACTCTTTTATTGCTTTTTCATTATACTGTCTCAGCTATGCTCTATGTACAAGCAAATATAATTTTGAAAAATTTCCATCTTTCCAATATGCGGACCATTTAGGAGAGGAAAATAAGGCATCTTTGACCTTAATACGATTCTTCGATATGTCTAGTCTAGCAAATTTATTCTCTGATCAATCTCTCTGCTTCGTCTCCTCTCTCTCGCTTCCTTTCTGCCTCTCGCCCTCCCTTCCCTCCTTCCTACCAAACGGCCCTAAATTTCCAAGAATCTCGTTCTAATTTGCTTATGCCCGTTCAAAGTCATATTAGATAAATAAAGAGAAAATATCTCACTCTTTCTCTCTTTGCCGTTTTGAGTGTTTATAATTGCTTTGTTATATAGAATATAATAATTACCTTCCTTCTCTTAGGATAATTAATTAGCTTTAGAGATTTTATTTAGAGAAAGACCGGGGAAATACTATGTTTTCTTGTCTGAAACTGTTTGAGTCGTTTCCAAGACGACTTTGGGCTAATTCCAAACGTTCTTGGGCTATTCTCTTACACTTGACTTGCTTCTTTGCTCTCGCAGAAAGACTTCAGTATGTCTAAGTACGGCTTCATCGATTGCCTGATTTTCGCCTATTACAAAAATTATATCGTCATCTACTATCAAAGGCATGTCACTTTCCCCAACTATTTCAATTGTTTTATTCTTATGTATTTATCATTTCGTTCAATCAAATATTGAATATTCCGTTGACATGAAGTAGACGAGAGGCCAAAGGAAAAACTCTCAATATTTTCGTCATCAACCCTTTTTGATGGCTGGCTGGCTGGATGGATGGATGGATGAATTGGTTTAGGGTTAACCCTTTCATTGGATGGACGAATGAGACAATGAATGACGGACGGTGAATGAACAAGGCGATTGAGTAAATAAGGTAAAGTAGAAAAATAATTTGGTAAGTTTATTAAAAAATAACCCGGAAAAATCTGGGAAAACCTTAACCTTAAAAGAAGAGAAAAAGAAAGCGGTTCTCTTTTTCGACTAAGTAAAGATAGAAGAGAAAAATGATTAGAAACTTTTGTATTCTATAGTGAATTTCCTCAGGGTAAATAAAACACAACAAAACAAAAGCAACTGTGCTGCTTTGCTTTCTTTTACCCCTTCTCCTTTTCTTTCTTTCGGAATAGATCACCATAAAAAACACACTAAAAAGTATAATCTCGCTATTCAACTCTTAATCAATTACGTATACCAGCGTAATTGAAAATAATGAATATTAATGAACAAGGCGTACAATTCCTGTTTTAATATTTTCCAGCCCAGAGAGAGAGAAAACATGATCAATTAGTTTTTCAACTAATGTCCTCATTCCTTCTTTCTCTATTATTTTTGTTAATTTAGAATATTCACTAGGATTAAATTTTTTATTCTAGATTTTTCTTGAATAATTAATTCAATTATTAATAAGTCTTCTTTCTTAACGAAAGAACAAACTACGCATGAAAGTTTAGCATAGCATAATTTATTCCCTTTCTCTCTTTCCCGTATTCTTCTACCACATATGTTACGGTTTGGAAAATTATGATTACTTAAAAGTGAACATGTTTTCTTTCTTCCTTTCACTCTCTCTCTCTTTCTCTCTGTCGCTTTGTCGTCTTTCTCATAACAGTAATCTAATTAAAGGTGCGAGTTAATATCTAAAGTCTAGGATGTGATAAATTTTAAGTAGCTCTTGCATAGTATAATAAGATTGCAGAGAGAGTCGAGTTTACAGTAGAGTATGAAGGAAAGAGGCAAAAACAGTAGATGATTATAAAAGAGAATTGCGAGAAAGTTGTATGAATTAGAAGAAAGAAAAGATTGAAAGAAGGGAAGAGAAACAATATAAGAAAAGAAATATGAATGTTTTATTAATTCGCAAGCAAGTTGCTGATTAAATTTTACTCTTTTGTCTACTGTTGCTTATCCAACAGTGTAGTATTACCTATTATTTTTACATTTTTGCCAATATTGTTATTGTAAACAAAAATCAGGGTTACTTTTCCTTTCTTTTCTCTCCCAATTCTCTACTCCTCACCTTTTCAGGTTGTCTTCCTTCTTTCACATTATTAACCAATAAAAGATATTTCTTTTTATTTCATTATTTGTTCGTTTCTTCATATTCCGTCCATCCATCCATCCATCCACTTCGCTCACCTAACCCTCCCTCCTTCATCTGCTCATTTATTCTTTTCTCTCTTTCTTTTCTCCTTACAGATACAACAACAAAAAAGCAACGAAAATCTCACCTTATATTTCATTTATTTCTACAAGTTTAAGACCGCCTATCCATTAGTTTCTACCCTCAACGCTTAACTTTCTGCCGACTGTCTCTCGTCAGGCGTCGCTATATGATTTTATTTAACTCAGAATTCAACCGATAGATGGCGTATTCAAACACATATTTATGAAAAACGCATGAAAACGATAATCATCAGTTAGTTCAGGATGAAAGGATGTTGCCAGAAGTTGATTTTGACAAACGGAAACGGGATGCCTGAAAGAAAACCATGGTATTGGTGGATTGTTTTACAAATGTAATGGCTAATTATAAGCATCGCGTGCAATATTACTTTGTTTTGTCTAATTTACATATTGGAGTTATCGACGTATCAGCTACAGTCAACTCAAAGGAATATTTATTCTTTTATATTATTATGTTGTCTACGAACCTGTCTAATGTTGCCAAAACGCGAACATCCTCCGAATCGATGCTCTTTATCGAAGGGGCTCTAATAAAGATTCCCGGAAATTCCCCTCCCAGCTCCTCGTCCAATGTCAACTTGGCTTCGAAACTATCCTTTTGCCGTCCATAGGAATTTCGAACTGTTGTCACGTGCAAACCGCCAATCTTTTGAAAATAGAGATAGAATTAGAAAGAAAAAAGTCAAAACTATGACCAGAAAATTTGATTTCTTTTGACAAATACTGACTAGTGATTGACTGTTATTTTTCCAATCCAGAACATTATTTGACAGTAGTATTAATCCAGCGCACGTTCCCCACATTGCTTTCTTTTTAGACATCCAATCCCGTAAACTTTCCATAAAATCTTCCGCCTGCAATAATAAACAAACCCTCTGGGTATCAATTAATACAATTATCATTCTACCTGAATCATACTTTCCGCTATCCCTATTTACATAATCTTGCCAAATGAAAAACTTGAAAGAGAGTTTTTTCTCTTTCCTACTATTCCTAAAAGCTTTCTTTTCCGTTTCTCTATCTGTCTGTCTGTCTGTCTCTCTCTTTTCTAACTCAATTATTCTTATCACAAATTACATTTTAAAAACGCTTATCAGCTTCTATGTTTATTCCTCTCTATCGCTGATGGTGTTTCAATTAGTGAGTAGAAAGAATAATTTTTCGGTTTATAAATCACCCTAACATGATCTCTACAGCCATGACTTCTTTCTATTCCTTCTTCTACCCTCTCTATCGTCATCAGTACCCCTATGGCTAACCCTAACCTTATCTTTAACCCTATCTTTTATACATATTACGTTTTTAGTGTGGTTTATAATTAACATATACATATATATATATATATATATATATATTGTATTTTACCTTGAGGAAGATGGACATTGTCGTACTCTCTCCTCCAGGTATGACCAAGCCATCCAAACCATTTAAATGTGAAGGTTTTCTGACTTCTTCTACTTTCAGTTCAATGTCTTTATCTACGAGTTGGGTAGCTTTTTCAAAAGAATATCTGTGCTCTTTGAAAGCTCCTTGAAAGCATAAAATTCCAATTCGAACGTCTTTCATGTTGATTGTGCAAGTTGGACGTGTATAACCTGTACGAAATGTAGGGGAGAGGAAAAATCGGGTTAGTATTTAAAGATTTGGTTACAATTCGTATAATATTTCGTTTTTATGTCTTTCTTCAATCGTCATCCTCCATCTCCTCCTCTAGTTTGGTTTTCAAAGAAAGAAAACCAATAATCATTGTGACTTTCAAGGTTATTGAAAAATAATTACTATACCTCTCTATTGTTAACTATCTAAACAAATAAAGATAAGAAAAAAGAAAAAGGGTAAAAATTACTGTTTAAAGGGAAAAAATGCTCTCCTCTCTCTATTACAGTCTTCTTGTACTGCCTGTCTCAAGTATTGTTGGCAATGAACCACATTTTGACTTGGCCTCTTATTGTATTTTTCTTATCTGCGAAAGTACATGGCGGTTGTTTATATCTTTTCTATCGTTGAACTATTGACCTTGGTATTTACTATAAAAGGTACGAGATTTCGTCTATCTTTCAGTAAAATCCTTTACGTATACAACATGCCAATTTTACCAGGTGTTAAAGACGGTTCGTATCAGAAAATTCAATAGCAGATTTCTCTTCTTCTTCTTCTTCGTCGTCGTCGTCGTCGTCTTCTCCATTTTCCTCTTCATCTAATAATCTTTATTATTTTGAAGTAAAATTTCTATACTTTTGAAAATTGAAATATATTTCTATAGGTAAACCACTAAATGAAGGACAAGACACTGTTCCCAGTATTGGTTTTGGTACCTTTACCGTCAAGTCTGGTCTTGCCCAAATGGCAAAGGGAGGAGTCGTTATGGATGTGACCAACGCCGAACAAGCGAGAATAGCCGAACAGGCTGGGGTAAGCATAAAAAGAAATGGAGATATAGAGATATAAATAGATAGATAGATAGATAGAAAACTCCCTTTGCTTCCCCTTGTGCAATAGTTTTGCAAATGTTTAAGTCATACATTTTAAAATAGGCTTGCGCCGTCATGGCTCTCGAGAGAGTGCCGGCAGACATCCGAAAAGATGGTGGAGTAGCAAGAATGTCCGATCCGAAGGTGAAATTTTCCTACTTTCTAGTATAAAACATTCTAACAATTAACAAGTCTGTACAAAACCCTATAATAGAAAATTAAAGAAATTTGCGAGACAGTATCAATTCCCGTAATGGCGAAAGCCAGAATTGGACACTTTGCGGAAGCTCAAATATTAGAAGCCTTGGGAGTTGACATGGTTGACGAATCAGAAGGTATATTGTTTTTCTGCTAGAGAACATCTTGCATTAACAAAGTGTAAGACTATAATTTTCAGACGGTTATTAAAATGCGAAATATACCATCTACTAAATTTTAAATAATAGACATTTTTCACTATATAGTCTCTCTTATTTAGCCAAACAATCTATCTTTCCGTTCATTTTGTCTCTCTCTACCTACTTTATATTTGTTGCTTTTCTACAGTGTTAACTCAGGCCGATTACGAAAATCATATCGATAAAAGGCAATTTAAAATACCTTTCGTTTGCGGAGCAAGAAATTTAGGCGAAGCTCTGAGGAGAATTGCCGAAGGAGCAGCAATGATAAGAACGAAGGGTGAAGCGGGAACTGGTAAGTAATATATCTTTTACTATTACATTATTAATTAACTAGGCAGTTGTCACTATTGTTGTCTACACGAATCGGATAGGAGAGAGATAGGGTATTCTTCAACGCCATATAGTAGGCCGAAAAACGTATACAATGCACCATAAGTATGAACTAAGAAACTCGACCAAGTAGATTGCGTGTCAATAAACAGCATAGGTTACATGAATAGCATGTACAAGGCGAGAAATACGTCCAGCTTAGCCTTAATTAATCAGCTGATAGCTATTAGTGAAGATTTAAAAAAGTGTAATCAAGTTCAAGAGAGAAGATAGCTGGAATAGTAGACTTGAAAAAGATAAGACACGTACTATAAACTGTACGGGAGAGATGAATTAAACAATAGAGGAGGAATAGTTGAAATATCAATGATTTATGAAACATTATCTTATTTCACTTTATCTACTGAAAATGTACTTATTTTAATGAATTAATCAATCTAACTTTTCTTTACTAATAGATTTAATCATTTCCTATATATTACGTTATACTTTTAAGAATATTCTTTTACATAATTACGTTCTAGGCAATCTATCATTCAGTCATTTTTTTTCCTTCTCCTCTCCTTCTCCTTTTCCTCCTCCTCCCCCTACTCCCTCATCTTATCTTACCCACCTACTTATCTACTTTTTCGTTATCTGAATTTGTAATGGATACGCCTACTTCAAATACAATTCAATTTTTCTTTTGCCACTCGTCTCAACTAATCATTGTTATCTACCTTTAATCGAGCCTATCAATAAATTATCTACAAGAAATCATTGACTTTCATTTTCTGTCCGTTAATCTTTATATAATGGCATGCCATTAAATATATAGCTGTACAAGTAGATCTAATCAATCTTATAGCATGCTATAGCCTAGTAATTCTGCATTTACTTTTCTCTAAATGCAGACCGGAAGCAATTAAATGTCTTTGTCACTTATTTTGTATTTTAATTAAGTAGCTAATTAATTATTCCATTTATTTTGACTAGTCGAACTTTTGTTTCTTTTTAAGGAAATGTTGTTGAGGCTGTTAAGCACGCTAGAACAATTAAAAGACAAATTAACTTTGGAAAATCTATGGACGAAGAAGAGTTATATTCTTACGCTAAAGAACTACAGGTTCCCTATGATCTGCTAGTTAAAACTGTTGAAATGGGTAGACTACCTATAGTTAATTTTGCGGCTGGCGGCTTAGCAACTCCCGCAGACGTTTCACTACTAATGCAGTTGGGCGTCGATGGAGTTTTCGTTGGATCAGGTATCTTTAAAAGTTCAAATCCCGAAAAAAGAGCTGTCGCCATGGTACAGGCAGTCACGCACTATAAGGATGCCAAAAAGATGGCTGAAATAAGCGAAGATTTAGGAGAACCAATGGTAATGAGATTTTTAAACATTACTGCAGCCATAGTCTATCCAATTATCTGTATGATTTTATAAACGAGATACTTTTTCGTATACTATACATACTACATATATCAATATACATATGCAGTATAAAGTATATATTATATATATATATATATATATATATATGTGCTTACGCGCTAAGTAATTACCTCTTTCATCTCTAAAGGTGGGATTAAATTGCGACGACATTGGTGAGAAATGGTCGCTAAAGGAATCCTCAAGAGATTAGATTGTAAAGGCAAAGGAAAGAAACGCAAAAAAAAAGAGAGGAAATATCGTAAATCATAAAAAGGAAAAAAAGAATAAATAAATCGCAATGAAAAGAAAGACGCAAGTCGGCTTATTTCTACTTTTAATCGTAATGGAAAATGTGTAAAAAAAAGATTATTTGAATAAATTTCTAGTGCATTTATCCCTCATCTAAATTCTTTTACAAATTAATATATCAATATCTCCTACAATAGAACCCATGTCTTTTAATTTTTCATCATATAATCAGATAATACTGTGTATACAGAATAGTTTATTCCGTTCAAACACCATTCAACTCGCCAATAGGTGCCAAATACAGTATATCTATAAAAACTTTATTACGCTCTTTTACTTGCCTATAGCAAAAGCAATCGCGAAGTAAACTGTAGATGCGCTAAACGTTTTATGTATAGCTTTATTACTGCTAAATAAGAGAAACAAAACTACTACGTAATAGTTGCAAATCCTTGCGTTTATGTATTATTGCTTTATTTTTCACTTGAACGACAATGTTCACATTTCAGAGAATGAACCGAGCACTAGTCCTTTCGAATATCAGAGGGATCTCCTAACCATATTCTTAATTTTAAACAAGATTAGAGTGTCTCTCTCTCTCGCCAAACCTATCAGAGGAAATTACTGTATAATATCAGGCCTCTTTTTTCAGAGTGCTTGTAAAAGAAAATAATTTCCTCCCGCCTATTCAACTTACAAATGTAAAACATTCATTTGTAATATTTCTTCTCGTTGCATATTTGTGGTTGTCGTCCTTAGCCTGTTCCAGATAAGCCTAATTAATTGAGATGTTTTAATGTTGCATATCTTTGCCTGCATCTTCTTGCTGAAGAAAAGTCTAGAAATTTATTGCACCATAGTTGTTTCTCTTTCCTCCTCACTTCGCATCCTAAAACCGTTAAAGGACAAAGGTTTTCCAAGAATTAGGAGATGGTAGCATTACTCTACCAATTCTTTAGTCTTACAGTTTATCTATTCGAATATCAGATTAGCCGCTATTAGGACTGTTACTACTATACTATTTTAATTAGTGCCTTACAAGAGGTCAGACTGCATTCATTTCGTGACGTCTATTATACTAATTTAGATATCATTTATCTTTATCGTGATTGCCATCAAACTTATCTTAAACAGGCCTTTTGATCGGACAATGACAGTTATCTTGACAATAAATCTTTCAATTATTTTAATAATAATACATTTATTGTTCATGCAATTTTACAATTAACTCACTTAGAATTTCATGATTTTTTCATTCTAGTTATACTTATTATTGTTCAAACAGAGAGACATGCCTATCATATCTCTTTGATATAAAGTTTTTTGAAGTACATACTGCAGTTTTTGTTGATTTCGCTCTTTCTCTCTCTCTCTCTCTCTAGAAAAAAACTTTTAAGATGCTAGAGATCCGTTACTCTTTTTTTGCCAAAATGAATTACAAATAGCACTGTTCGTCACTCTAATATTTAAAGAATCATCAGGGTCATTTATAGGCAGAGGTGTCTGTTGGAGAGGAAATTTTCTCCCTTTCCTCTCCTTTCATAATTTAATCTGTATCGCTTCACTTATTCCTGCGTCAGCGTAAAGACAAATTGCTGGGGTTGAAGCGTTAACGGCTGCGATAGAATAGTAGCCCAATGATTTCAATAGTGTTAACATTAATGACATAAAATGAATAAAGGAATTGTCGTAAAGAGTGCGTCTTTAGAAAAGCAAAGAGATAGAGAAAGAAAAGTAAATAATAATAAGAGTGCTATATTGAATAATATGTGTCATGTGCCTGCTTTAAAAAACTATATCTTTCAAAGATAACACTTGATATTGAAACAATTTTGTGTAACAATGAAAGTGAAACAAATGACATTGTTTCAAGTATAAATACTACACTTTTTCCATCAACAACTTTTTCGCTTACTCACTCTTCTTATTCGTTTTTTGCTCGGACTATTGTCTTACGCTCTTCTTATAGACGAAAGAGGTTAGAAATTGGCGACATTTCTTCACTCATTCACTTGCGCAGCAACCCGTCTACGCATCTATTTATCCATCCATCCATCCATCCATCTGTCTATCTATGTATAACAAACACGCTTTTGTTTATTTCTCAATGGACATGCTTGTAATAAATAGGACAATAACAACTTAAGCAAAACACTGACGCAGGAGAAACAAGGACACGAACCAACTATTAAATCTGATAAAAGATACTCGACTGAAAACTTGTTATTTCATTTAAAAATAAACGCAAAACACCCGCAAAACTCTCTTTCTTTGCCATCGTTCAGTTAATATATTCCTTTGCACACAATCACAAAAAATTTCGTCATCTCTCTTTCTTGTATTACGGTTAGATAAAAAAAAACTGAAAGTGAATAACGTAAACAAGTAAAGATATGAAATAAACTTGTACTTTGTTCGTATCATACGCGGACAAATCCATTATTAATATCTGGTAAGAGCCAGAGGGGGGTAGAATGGATAATCTACCTAAAGACAGATAGACAGATTGGCCGATAGATTAACGAAGGGACAGACGCGGAGAATAGAAGAAAACGAGCAAAACATAGTCGTAAAAAAACAAAAGGGAAATAATTCTAGTTGAACAGATTGAGATTATTAGAGGAGAATTTGACCAGACTTCTAGGAAAAGATAATTACATTTAATTGAGATAATTATTTATCTGCATGGTATTTGTATTTCAAGTTCAACTTTGACAGATATTACAAATCTCGCTTGCAATTTGTAATATCTTATGTAACAACAGTAAGTGAGTTAGGGTGTAAGTCTGTGTGTGTATTATTCAACATTTCTATCAGTCGCAGTAGTAGCCTAGCAGTCATTTTAAATATTTTATTTGTCATTCTTTCAACCTTTACCGACTTTCTGCTAAAGAAGTCAACATCAGGGGAGTAGGATTTTACTTGGTTCCCTGTTAACGCAAATTTTCTTTCCCTTGCTGTATTTTAGAAATCTTTACTAGTGAAATAAGAAAGAAAGCGAACAAACAAACAAGCAAACACGACTTAACCCTAACCCTATTTAATTTTCCCATTCCTCCAAGACCCCTGTCTCAACATATTTTTTGCTACCTCCAGCCTAACAATTCAGTATAGCTTCGCAATCTCAACCCCTATTTTTAATCTACGAGTTGAAAGGAAATTTTTACGCATTGCTCATTAAACTTTACTGTATTGCCCTATTTTGTGACCATAAAAACATTATAGCTCATTTCCCTCTACGCTTCCTAGTTTTTTTTTTAAAATTTAATCGAAATTATTTAAAAGAAAATTGCTAAAATTTTTAGCTGGCCCTTTTTTTTTATCCCTATTCCCAACTCGCTCTTGCTTGCCTTCCGCTTCTTTCCCTCTTCCCTACTACCCCTTGCTCTCTATCGTACTTTCTCTCTCTCTCTCTCTGTACCGACCTATCTATGGCTGTGTATGTGTGTGTCTATTTGTATGTTTGTCTGTCTCTCTGCTTGTCTTTCTTTTTCATCGTTGTTGATTTCTTTTTTTCTCCCTCACTCCCCCACCGCCTGATTTTATTTTATTAATAAATGCTTCATTCTTCGACTCTTGACTAATATATCTCTGTGTACTAAAAGACTTTACTCTACAGAGATATAACTGAGGTTTTAGTGATTTACTCCCCTCTTACATTTGCTAATTTAGATGCATTTAGATGTTAAAATAACACATCACCAAGTGTGAGTTTTCTCAAATCATATGAAAAATTAACTGCCCTCTCTCCACAGTTCTACCGAATGTTTGGTAATCATAAGTATATTTGTTTACCTATAGATGGCGTCCTTACCAGGCAATAAAACAACTATTTGTGATAAGAATAGTAACCAAACTACCGTTGTGTGTAAAAGATTTACGGTATGGAGAACGTAAATTCGTAATAAATTTTACAAGTGGATGCCTACCTGGCTACTATGTCGCATGTTCCCGATTTTTTTTTCATTGCATCATCATCATCATCAGTATCATCCTTTTATAGAAAATTACCAAATAGTAGACAAAATTGAGCAACTAGCTTAATATTTCTATTAAGAAATATAGAGGGAGGGAAAATTGACAAACAAACAACTGTGCACTGTTGTATATTTTATAGTAAATAGCTATCTCGCAACGATATAAAAACAAGCAATAATTGACTTTTTTCTACCCTTCCTTACTAGTAGATAAGCAATAATTGCTGTTGAATTCTCAGTTATTCACCCTTTTCCCATGGTATTATGCTCACGTCTAGTCATAAATACAGGGTCAGAACTATTAATCTAATCCGACTAAGCAACGTATCATCTAGAATGTAACTTTACACTTTGAAAAACCGATTGATGAAAACAGATTATATGCGTTAATGTCACATTCGTCGCTTGGCAGGTAATTGTAGATTGTTTAAAGTGCTTTCATTTCAATCTTATTCAATATTCTTCCAATAATGCTTTTCATTTAACCTGCTCAGTAGAAGAAAATATGTTACAACTGGCAAAGCACATCAAAGAGAAAACGCATTTCACACAATTCTATATTCTAAATTTAACTATCTTCAATATTTATTTAATCAATATTCAAACGGGACAATCAGGGGTTTATCGTATTCTATTCTTGTTTTGCTTTCCAGTAACTGGTTTGTTACCTTGATTAGTCGTAACCCATAATAACAGCTCTAGTCGGCTAATCAACTTGAACTCTGCTATGAAATCAGCATACAACTATTTCAAAGTATCCCCCAACCGCCACAATTGATTGGAAAATTCGACTTGTAGATAGTTCAATTGGCAGACAGTCCTCTAACACTCCAGGGGAGCTAAACATAGTGAATTGTTGCAAGTTGACGCCTTCAGCGACACTAGAAATATACTTCGTTTAACGAAACATAAATACACCTGAAATTCCTAAATAATCTCCGAAGGATTACTATTACAGCAGCTACTGGACAATTCGCGCTTCTTGTTTTTCAGTACACCCAAGACGGAGATTAGTTGGGTTAAAAACTGACAGACGCATCTTACAATGAACACTTGAGAATGCTTCTTTCCTCTCTATGAGACGACGTAAAAAGCCACTAGATGCTAAACGCCTACAAAGAGTAAAAGCCTACGAAAACTTTTTTCAGATTGGTACAACGATTAAACTATGCTTTATCCAGATCGATCTATAAAGAAAGGAATAATGTCTATTGAGAACTATCTACATATTCAATAAGACTAAAAACAACATCAGCTCGTGTCTGGTCACCAAGCTAGAAGACTTGAAAATCTAGTCTATAAACCTAACCCTTTTAAAC